GAAAAAAAAAAAGAGGGAAGACTCAAAAAACAAAATGAGAGATGTAAGAGAAAACAATACAATAGATAACCACAGAAAGACATAGTGTGATAGCAATTACCCTAAATAATTATATACTAACAAATCAGATAACTTAGAAAAAAACAAAAACAAAAACAGATAATTCCTAAAAATGTACATTACTAAGATTGAATCCTCAATCCTGAATCCAAGAAATAGGAAATCTTCTTAGACCAAAAACAAGAATAAAAGTTGAATTAAGAATCAGAAATCTCCCAGCACAGAAAAGCCCTAAAACCACATGATTTCATTGGTGAATTCTACCAAACATATGAATAATTAATGACCGTCTTTATCAAAATCTTATAATAGTGGAATAGAGGGAACACATTCAACGTCATTCCATGAGGTCATGTTACCTGGTTACCAAAGCAGTATAAAAACAATTCAAGAACAAAAAGTTCTAGTTATTCCGATATAAGTATTGCTACTCTGATTTTTTTTTTGACATCCATTTGCATGCTAAATGTTTCTCCACCCTCTTACTTTCAATCTGCAGGTTTCTTTAGATCTAAAATGAGTCTCTTATAAGCAGCATATAGAAGGTCTTATTTTTGTTTTTGTTTTTGTTTAAAGAGGTAGAAATTTATTGAACACATGGCAAGGGGAGTGGCAGGCAGGACCACAGAGGAGAGGCTATCTGCTGGGTCTTGTTTTTTTTAATCCATTCTGATACCTGATGTCTTTTGATTGGAGCATTTTGTCCATTTACGTACAAAGTAATTATTGATAGATATGTGCTTATCCCATATATCTACTTATTTTGTCATATTTTCTGGAGATTTCCTCTGTTCCTTTCTTGTCTTTGTCACTTTTGGTCTCTTCTTTGCACTCAAAGAGTCCCTTTAATATTTCTTGCAGGGCTGGTTTGGTGGTCGCGAACTCCTTCAGTTTTTGTTTGTCTGGGAAACTCTTGATCTCTCCTTCTATTCTGAACTATAGCCTTGCTGGATAGAGTATTCTTGGCTGCAGATTTTTCCCATTCAGCATTTTGTATATATCATGTCACTCTCTTCGGGCTTGCCAAGTTTCTGTTGAGAAATCTCCAGCTAGCCTTATGGGTCTTTCCTTGTAAATTAAGGACTTCTTTTGTCTTGATACTTTTAAGATTTTTTTTCTTTATTACTGTATTTTGCAAATTTAAATCACAATATGTCTTGGTATTAGTCTGCTTTTGTTGATTTTGATGGGAGTTCTCTATGCCTCCTGGATTTGGATGTCTCTTTCCTTCCCCAGATTAGGAAGCTATAATTTCAGCTATAATTTCCTCAAATAAACCTTCTGCCCCCTTTACTTTCTCTTCTTGTGGGACTTCTATAATGTGAATGCTATTATGTTTGATAGAGTCACTGATTTCCCTAAGTCTATTCTCATGTTGCATAATTCTTCTTTCCCTCTTTTGTTCAGCTTCATTATTTTTCATGATTTTGTTTTCTATGTCACTAATTCATTCCTCTGCTTTCTCCAGCCTGCTGTTCATTGCATCAAGCCTTTTTCCAATCATGTTTATTGCATTCTTCTTCTCTGATTCTTTTTTTTAACTTTTTTATCTCTGTTGTACGAGTCTCACTGATATCTTCTATTCTTTTCTCAAGCCCAGTGAATATCCTTAAGACTGTTGCTCTCAATTCTTCATCAGGCATGTTACTTGTATCTGTTTCACTTAGATCTTTGGCCTTATCATGTTCTTTCATTTGGGATAAGTTCCTCCATCTTGGCATTTTGTCTAAGTCTCTGCCTTCTTCTGTGTGTTAGAAAAGCCAGTTATGTCTCCTACCAGTAATGGCCTTCTGAAGAAGTGCTCCTGTAGTGCCCAGGGTCTGGAGTTTCAGGGAGTGTCTTGGTGTGTGCTGGGTGAGCTCTGCTGTTGTATTTTGTTTACTCTATGCTCCAGGCCTGTCATCTGCAGAGGCTCTCCTTGCCTACTGTGGGCAATGTTTGGTCTCTACCCTAAATGTAGTGAGTTTTAACTAGGTGTGCTCTGGTCTGCTTGTGAGATGAGACTTGACACCAACTCCACCAGAACTGAGACCCTGCAGAATTCTCTGGTTGGGACACATGGTATGGGCAGGGATTTGTGCTGGTCTTCTGAGAGAGGGGCCCACCACCCTGGGACTGAGGTAAGCTTGACAGAGAAGAGCAGTCCCACCAGAGGACGGGGGAGTGGGGCTTGGTATAAGTAAGTTAGGCAGCCAGTGCTGCTCTGCCTCCTGCTGGTAGCTCTGTGTTTATGCTGAGAGATGGGGGAGGGAAATGGGCCTAGCCAGCTATCCTGTTCCCAGAGAGGCATCTCTGTGAATGCTCCCACTCCCAGACACTCTGAGTGAATAACCTCCCCACTCTGTGCTCCAAGCGTTCTTCAAATCACTGTTTCCTCACTGTCTGCCCTGGGGTTGTTTGCCTGTCTTCTCTCCAGGAGCAGGACAGTGCTCTCAGGACTCTTTCCCAGCCAAGCCTGCTGACCTTTAAAACTCTAGGCTTTAAGCCCTGTTGGCTGCAAGAACTTAAGAAATTCAGCCCTTCTCATTTTCCAAGCCAATGGCTTTGGGAAAACATTCTCCTTGTGTGCTCCCCCCTGTTCCTCTCTCTTTCATCCTTCTGCACAGGACCAGAGCTCCCTCCCCTCCACAGCAGCCACAGTCTGTTTTACCCCTGAATCATATCTCCGTAATTCTACCTTCTTCAATGTGGCCTCTTCTTGCCCTTTAGTTGTGGAATCTGTTCCATCAGTCTTCAGACCAATTTCTGGGTTATTTAGGATGATTTGATAGTTATCTAGTTGTATTTGTGGGACAAGATGAGCCTAGGGTCCTCCTACTCCACCTCCATCTTAGGGAATTCTGATGACTTCTTCTGTTCTGCCTATGTTTTCTTTAGGAGTTTTATGGTTTTCTTACATTCAAGTCTTGAATCCATTTTGAATAAACTTTGTGTATGGTGTAAGAGAGTGGTCTGTTTCCATTCTTTTGCATGTAGCTGTCCAGTTTTCCCAGCACCATTTATTAAAAAGATTGTCATTTTCCCCTTTTGTATTATTGACTTCTTTGTTGTAAATTAATTGAACATATATGTGTGAGTTTATTTCTGGGTTGTCTATTCTGTCCCATTGATCTATGTGTCTGTTTTTATGCCAATACCATACTGTTTTCATGATTAACTGTGTAGTATAGTTTGAAGTCATGGAGTGTGACACCCTCCGCTTTGTTCTTTTTTCTCAAGATCATTTGGCTGCTTAGGGTCTTTTGTGGTTCCAAATTTTGGAATTCTTCGTTCTAGTTCATGAAAAATGCCACTGAAATTTTGATAGGAATTTCACTGTATTTATATATTACTTTGGGATGTATGGACATTTTAACAGTATTAATTCTTATAGTTCATGAGTTTAGATTATCTTTCCATTTATTTGTGTCATCTTAAATTTCTTTCTTCTGTGCCTTGTAGTTTTCAGCATACAAGTCTTTCATGTCCTTGATTACATTTATTCCTAGGCATTTTATTCTTTGTGGTGTAATTATAAATGGGATTGTTTTCTGAATTTTTCTTTCTGATAATTCATTATTAATATGTAGAAATGCAACAGATTTTTGTGTATTGGTTTTTTATCCTTGATTTTTGTATCCTACAACTTTACAGAATTCATTTATTAGTTTTAACAGTTTTTGGTGGAGACTAGGATTTTCTATGTATGGTATCATGTCATCTGCAAAGAATGACAGTTTTACTTCTTCCTTATCATCTTGGATGCCTTTTTATTTCTTGTTCTTGTCTGGCTAGGATTTTGAATAATATGTTGAGTAAAAGTGCTGAGGCATCCATGTCTTATTATTGATCTTTAGCTTTTCTTCATTGAGTATGATGTTTGCTGTGGGGTTTTCATACATGGCCTTTATTATGTTGATGCATGTTCTGTCTATACCCATTTTGTGGAGAGTCTTATGATAAATAAATGTTGAATTTTATCAAATTCTTTTTGTGTATCAGTGGTGATGATTGTGATTTTTATTAATGTAATTTATCTGCTAGATTTTGGATTTTTATATTTCTATTTCATAATCTCAATGTATTGTTTTAAATTTACCCTTTGATTTCTTCATTAATTCATTGGTTGTTCTGTAGCATGTTGTTTAATATCCACATATTTGTGATTTTCCCAGTTTTCCTCCTGTAATTGATTTCTAGTTTCATATCATGGTGTCAAAAAAGATGATTAATATGATTTCATTCTTCTTAATTTTATTGAAACTTGTTTTGTAGCCTATCATGTGATCCATCCTAAAGAATGTTCCATGTGCACACCAGAAGAATGTATATGTTCTGCTATTGGATAGAATGTTCTGTATACATCTATGATAAGGTCCACCTGGTCTAATGTGTTGCTTAAAGCTGTTTTGGTTTTTTTTTTAATTGATTTTTTTGTCTGGATGGCTTATCCATTGATGTAAGTGGGGCCATTAAAGTCCCTTACATTAATGTATTGCTGTCAATGTCTCCCTTTAAGTTTGTTAATTTTTGCTTTATTTATTTAGGTGTTCCTATGATGGTGCATAAATATTTATAAATATTACATCCTCCTGGGGTGCCTGGGTGGCTCAGTCGGTTAAGCGTCTGCCTTCAGCTCAGGTCATGATCTCAGGGTCCTGGGATCAAGCCCCACATGAGGCTCCCTGCTCAGCGAGGAATCTGCTTCTCCCTCTCCCTCTGCTGTTCCCCTGCTCATGCTCTCTCTCTCAAATAAATAAATAAAATCTTTAAAAAAAATTCTCTAAAAAAAAAAAATATATCCTCTTGTTGGATTGACTCCCTCCCCTGTTTTGTTTCTTTACATGAAAAAAATAATTAAAATTCTATTAACCAAATATTTATTTAAAAATATGTCTCATATTTTCATGAAACTCCATGAAAATACAAACACTACAATCTTTTCTTATTAATTTTAACAGCAATTCCTGAGTTTGTAACACAAGTGAACGTTGCCTTAGAAGCCTTAAGTAAAAACTCTTTGGATGTATTTGATGATGATCAATTTGTGGACATCTCAAAGAAGATCTATGACACAATTCATGATATCAGATGTTCAGTCATGATGATTCGGGTAAGTTTGCTTTGCTTTCCATTGAATTATTGCAATCCTTCTCACCATTTGGAATGCTTGGAATGACTGCAAGAATTATTTTATTTCTATTTCATAATGTCAATGCTGAAATCCACTAGAACTTTAGAAATTCATATGTATCCCTGAAGTCAAATCTACTGTCACAAACAACACTTTCACTTATGTATTTGGTTATAACTTATGCAAATGAGCACATTTAACTGCTGTGTGTGCAGAAATGATAGGATTCCTTGTGTGCAGAATTCACTGAAGTGTCACATAGCATGATCAGGAGCCAAAGGAAAATACATAAAGTAATTTGCTTTCTTTTCTTGAATGGAAAGGAAAGGATCTTTCTCATCACTGTATTGAAATTGGTAGGAAAATGTGTCTAAAACAGAGTGTTTCTATGGTCAAACCTTCTCATAGTGGATTAGAGACTCAGACTGTTCTGTAAGAAATCCCACATGGAGCTGACATGAACAACAAACACTTGAACTGTCCCAGTCTGGGAATTGTCTGTTTGGGGGAATATATGCCATCTTCATAAGGGTGAAAGTGAGCCCTTTATTGTGGGTGTACTGCATACACAGAGACCAGGATTATTTGTTTTCACTCAAATATTAATGTGGGGTGTTTATTCAAATTTTATTTGAAAAACAGTGGAGGCTTTCTGGAAAATGCCCATGTAAAGATATGGGGATATTTTATCTTAGAATGGGTTCACCTGAAGGCAGATCTGAGGTAAGAATCTGTGTTACCATTAGTCTATTTAGGAGAAAGTAAGAAAGAAAAAGTGAGGCAGGGAGGGGAAGTAAACCAGCAAGATGTAATTATGCATCACTACTGGCAACTAGGGCTCAATCCTGCTGGGAAATCTGGGCAATACTATAGAATACACCTCAGAATTACCTTACCTGAGGTGAACAAAACCCAATATATCTACCTATTCATCCTTGATTAAAGGCTACCCCTCCTCAGAGTGTTACTAAAGCCTCCTGCGTGGGTCAGTCAAGCTCTTGTGGCCAAAAAAAGCAACCCTCAGGCAGAGTGGCAGGTGCTTGCAATAAGAAGATTCAGTAGGAATGGTGAGTGTAATTTGTTAAGTATGAAGAGTGTTTAATTTGAAAGCCTCTACATTTAACTGTTAGTGAGACTATAAAGATGGAACTAGAAGTTCTGAGGATATATGGAGTGAGCACCAATAGTATCTGACGGGCTTGAATGTCATAGGTTACACAGAGCAGTATATAAAAATGGAGTCATTTGGGGATCTTGTAAGGAAAAAAGCCAACAAAAGTTGAAGACACTGGCAGGGCAATGGATGCTTATGAAAGAAATTCTAAGAGAAAGGCTAAAGGTGTCAAGATATAGGATCTAGCACTTCAGAGCCTGGGAAAACCTGAAAGCAAGCCAATAATACGTAAAAGAGAGAAATTTCCACGTATATATTATTCATATGTGATTGAGTGCTGTGGCACTGTACCAGTACTATGTCTGAGCTGCAAAGTACCTTTTCAAATATTTTCTTCTTCTAAAAAGGATTTTAAACCTTACCCATGTGGACTAGTGGACTGGCAGACTGCTCATAATCCAAAACTGAGAAGATAGGTAGAACCAGGAGAGAAACATCGAGTGAAGTGCATGAATTTCAGGAAGTAGTCTTTCCAGAGTAAAACGCCTGCATTTCCGGTATCCCTGGGTGGATATGTAAGAAGATTAAACCAGTGAAATAGCATAGGTAAACCAGGGTAGGATATGGATTTTTTTTCTGAAAAATCTATCTATGGATGAAAAAAGTCTTGTAATAGCTCCCATTTGTATGTTTTAGTCTTAAAAAGTTTCCTCCTTATCAAAATAGCTTACTTATAGCAAATCATGTTATCTTGCCATTATTTCTATATATCTCTCATATCCAGCAGTCCTCTGTAGGGCAAGAGAATAATTGTAATTATTTAATAGCCTCAGAGGGCAGTAATTTTTCCCTACAGTCATCTCTTTTTCAAGGTACATACTTCAATTTCTTTTAACTTTTCCTTGTAGGAATAATTTAGTATTTTGTGTTCTTTACCAGTCCTATTTAACTTTTCAACAAAATTCTCAAATGAGACTATCAAAAAGCATACTCTAATTAGGGCCTGTCCAAAGTCAGATAAAGTGGAAAACTTGTTCTTATGTTGCCAATAATGTAGCCGACTGCTATGAACTTATGTTTTCCCCTTTTAAATACCAAGATTGTTGGATAGACCATTTCTTTTTCTTTTTCTTTTTTACCCTGTTGTTGCCTGTATATTCTTCTCCATTTTGATTTGATATGTTTGCTCTTGGTCATAAATCCTTATCATATTAAACTTTATTATATTTCTAAATGATTCTTCATATAATTTATCAGGTTGCTTTTTTTCATTTTTATTTTTTTTATTATGTTTAATTAGCCAGCATATAGTACATCACAAGTTTTTGATGTAGTGTTCAATGATTCATTAGTTGCGTATAATACCCAGTGCTCATCCCAACACATGCCCTCCTTAATACCCATCATCTGGTTATGCCATTTCCCCACCCCCTCCCTTCTGTAACCCTCAGTTTGTTTCCTGGAGTCCAGGGTCTCTCATGGTTTGTCTCCCTCTCTGATTTCTTCCCATTCAGTTTTCCCTCCCTTCCCCTGTGGTCCTCCCCTCTATTCCTTATGTTCCTCATATGAGTGAAACCATATGATAATTGTCTTTCTCTGCTTGACTTATTTCACTTAGCATAACCCCCTCCAGTTCCATCCACGTCGATGCAAATGGTAGGTATTCATCCTTTCTGATGGCTGAGTAATATTCCATTGTATATATGAACCACATCTTTATCCATTTGTCTGTTGAAGGTCATCTTGGTTCCTTCCACAATTTGGCTATTGTGGACATTGCTGCTATGAACATTGAGGTGCATGTACCCCTTCTTTTTACTACATCTGTATCTTTGGGGTAAATACCCAGTAGTGCAATTGCTGGGTCGTATGGTAGCTCTATTTTCAACTTTTTGAGGAACCTCCATACTGTTTTCCAGAGTGGCTGTACCAGCTTGCATTCCCACCAACAGGGTAAGAGGGTTCCCCTTTCTCCACAACCTTGCCAACACTTTTTGTTTCCTGTCTTGTTAATTTTGGCCATTCTAACTGGTGTAAGGTGTTATCCCATTGTGGTTTTGATTTGTATTTCCGTGACGGCTGGTGATTTTGAACATGCTTTCATGTGTTTGTTAGCCATTTGGTTGTGACTGTACCTAAATCAGCATCAATTAGAAACATGAGGTTATAATCTCAGTTCCTTCATCTAGATTACTAAACAAAATATTGAATTATATTGGCCCTTCATCTGACTGAAATCTCTGCTAGATAGCTCCAGTTAAGGACCTTAGTGTTAAGAGACCTTAGAAGCTGATGTTCATCCAACTGAGAACATACTGGTAAGTGTATGGTTTGTAAGAATGTTTTCTGAATTTTGAGGTGGAACTATTCTTCCTTCAAACACACTTTAAGGCCTAAATAAATAAATAAAACAGATAAAAAAAAGAGCTCCTGTACTTGAAACCATGAAGGAGAGTCCAGGGGCCCATCATCTCTGTGTCTTCATGCCCGGTTCCTTAGGCAGCCTCTAGGGAAACTTCCACAGAACTTCTACAAGGATTCTTTGGAGGATGATCCATAAACCTGTGTATTTAACTGCTAATTGGATTATATGTTGAAAATAGAAGTCTAATTCAGGTGCAATTAATAAAAATCTATCTTTTTTTTCCTTTGAGGACTATCCCTTTATTATAGAATATGATAAAATTGGTCTGGTGTAATCTTCTCTTTATAAGGTCAAATGTAATGCTGACCAATATCCCAATCTTAGAACTGCAAAACATTTGATGCTTTCTTCAAAGTATCTGAAGAGTGTCAAGATTAAGGCAATATGTTTACAATTATGCAAGTTCAAGGAGGGCTAGGTTATGCTCTTGAGAGTGTTTTTGAATGTTACAGAATCCTGTCCTATGTCTGAATTTTCATGAGTGTTCAGTGCCCTTGATACAATAAAATACTAACTTCAGATCAGTGCCCCAAATTTTACAAATAGTTTTGTAAAAATATGATTGTATCTGCCTTTAATATTTATTTTGGTGAATAATTATGTTAGCAATTGTTCAGATTATTTTTAAAATTTCTGAGAGAAAATGCTGTGACATTTAATATTACTCTCTCCACTGGATTCAGTTTGTGGACAAATTACAGAATCCCATTCTTAACAACCTCAAAGAGAAGGGAGTATTAAATATTTATTGTTTCTTTGGTGTTTAATATCTACGTATAAATTTTGCAATTATTAAGAGTCTATATAGTAGTTAAGATTAAAGCAAATCACAAACCTCACTAACCTTAGTTTCCTCCTTTGTAAAATAAACTTTGTATTAAACCTACTTCAAAAAGTTATTATGCTGACAAATGAGCTAATAGCAATGAAGTACTCAGTAAATAGTAGTCTTTTATAAGAAGATAGCTACTGTTTCTACTACCTTTATGAATAGTGCTAGTACTACTGAAGCTGCTTATTATTTTCTTTATATTTTGAAGAATGTTACCTATAGAAGTTAAAGAAATGTGACTGCAGGTAAACATGAAACCAAAGCCCAAAAAGTACCTTAAAAGGTGAAGTTCTAAGCAAAGAATTATATTTTTCTCAAGATTTTGTTTTATATACAAGGAAACTTTATGTTTATCGAGTATCTGAATTATAGATTATTTAATGCAAATTGTGCCTTTAAGCCTATATTACTTTAAGCTAGCGTATAATTCTGTATGTTGTTTTTATTAACTTCTTGAAATGTGCACGAAGGACTTGATGGTTCATCTTTTTGGGAAATGTGCTTAACCAGAAATAGATATTAAAAAGGGCAACATAAATGAATTGTGAGAAATATGGGTGGTCAGCAGTGAAATATCCTCAAAAAGAGGAAAAGATTCAGCAAAAATT